TTTAGAGCAACACATGTGGCCACTTATATCGATCAAAGCCACTACCGTTGGGATTGGAATCAATTGGCATCGATATGCGCGAGGTACAATAAAACCTGAATTCTTACGTTCTACTTGGTTTCGACTTTTTCTTGTGAAGGTTTTCTTAGTAGCTCTCAGTCAAATATAAAAGATTATATTTAGCGCGTAATCGCTTGGAATTGTCACATACCTGTAACCTGCAAGCCTCGGGCGTTAATATTGTAAGCGTTTGCCCAAGAAGTGCATATGTTATCAGCAGATAATAATCATTCGGTTTGGCGCTAGATGCAATTTGCATGATTTTGAGTGAGAATTGAATTATGCGCTTGGTAACTAAGCGTTTGTCGACCAAGATGGGAGACTTAGAAGAGCAGTTTGCTTTTCCTCGTAATGATTTTTGGTAAACAGATTACCCGTAGTTAGATTGTTGCGTACGAAAGATGCAACACGAGGCTCATTAATGTGGATGCGTCAACGGGAAATAAAATCACTGGACTCTGTCGTGCAAAAGCGACTATAAGCTGCTGTCCATGACTCCATTTTTTGTACAATCTCAATGACCTCAGACGATCGTACGATGGCATATTGGCTTCAACCGAAACTAACTGCTGAAATGTGTATATTGACCATTTCCTGCTTGTGTTTTCTTCACCAAGTCACTTTCATTACCAGGCATCAACACGAGACCAGACGTCCAGCTGCAGTTTGTGGCTGGTGTAGGCTTTAATACGTGCCAAAATAGTGTCCATTTCTAGATTTATAATGCGTGTTTGTGAGGACGGAGAAGATAGGTGAGGTATTGAAGAGATTTCATATCCGCTTAGCTTCATTTCAAAGTGTGTGTAGTATTTTTATTGTTTTCATGTGTTAAGTACATTTGAAAAGAAGAGTACACAATAGAGGTATCCACTATGGATGACTCTGTATGAGCGGTTGAACTTACATCTTCTGCACTCAAATACCCGACACTCGCCGCTTCGCGATTTGGTTAAATTGATATGCCACTGCGCGCATCACAATCGCGAATGCATTAAAACTTGTGAATTTTGTTCTTCTCCACATAACGAACGACTCTTAGCCCGTACGAGTGAACTATCGTGTTTTAAGTTTTTGTGCCGCATATGCAAAACGAGAGAAGGCGTTTGTTTGCTGTAAAACTTGTTGATCCGATTTCGCTTTAGCACTGCTACAGAATGAAATTGACGAATGTAGTGGCATAAAGCTCCTGCTTCATTACCTTTAATCTGTTGATGATCTTCACCAAAGTTGTTGTGAGCAATTTGTGCATGAACACTTTCACCCGATTATGCCTTTATTTAAATGTTGTTGCTGCTGCTTTTTGTTCATATTGATCATAATCTTGATCACCTACCTAAATCTTCAAAGTGCCATTGCATTGCGGTTGTCCATCAGCGCTTTCAGTAGCACCAAACAGTGTTGCAGCTCTTTGATTTGTCTCTTCCTGAGGAATACTATTTTTCTCACTAGCGAAACTAGAATCGGCTGTTCGGCTGCTTATAGCACATCGGCCAGACGTGCTGAGCTTACTAAAGAATTTATCGGACGAAGGGTAAGTACTTTTGAACAACGACGATGCAATCACTACCGAATAATCCTTTCATGAAGATCCACAAGGGAGACTGGCGCAAACTGTAGTTGTAGGTCAAGATACTCAACTACTTCCGTGATGTGGCGATGGCTTGCAACGCGATATTACAGAAAAAAGAATTTTCTGCTCACAGAATCGCACATTCTTGCTTCTTCAGATGCAAATTCAAGACGAACATCTCAACATTTGCGCTGTGATTGTGCCAGGGGAACTGAAGAATTACTTCAAGAATATAAACCTGCACTAAATAAGCCGCATTTTACAAATAAAATGTGCTACCGTCCTTAACACGTTTTTCAATACCAATGATTCCTTTTTATAAAAGATCAGGAAAATTTTAGGAACACTATTGTGGTTTGCTTTATAATAATTTAATCAAAACTAGACTTCCGAATATCATCCAATGTAAGACATTCATGGGCACTATAATCCTCACTAGATTGCATCGGAGACAGCGAATAGTCGTATTTGCGTTAAGTTTTTGCCAATTAATTTACAAAAGGGGTATGTTGAGAACGATTTATGCATCAGGTTTAAAGCATGCAGATATGTAAAAACTGTCATCAATCCATCGGAGCCGTTAGTTGGACGCGACAAAGTCACAAAAAAATCCTCCATTTCATTTTATAATGATTGTTTAATGTAAATTAAAGGAGCCAAAAAATATTACAAAAGGTAAAACATTCCCAGGCCATTTGCAAATTTGCGGTCAAGGCGGTCGAACATTTTTTGCCTCAAGTTCCAGACAGCTTATATACAAGTTTACTGCTTATATGACATAAGATTGCCAACCAAAAAGATTCCTTGGCGCCGGCCTTCATCAGTGATTGCAATCTCATTTAACATTGCTCAAGACAACACCGCGCACACCGCGTTGGTCAAGGTCACTCAACCAGCTCATTTTACCTCAACCAAATTGCAGAATTCATTATGAAATAACCAAGATCTCTGATCTCCCAGAGCGTTCATAGGCTTGACACGCTGTACATTGTTACAGTACAGGGCTCGTAAAAATGCTTCAAGGAACAGTGCTAGCAACAACAAAAGAAACAGAGTTGTGAAGTTGTTGAACAAACATGTGAATACCGGAAACGCGACTGTCATTTATAATGTTTTGACTATGATTTTTGTGTATAGAGGTAGGAACTTGTGGGTGTCAATTTAACCAAACAGCGAAGCGGCGAGTGTCGGGCGTTTGAGAAGATTCAAGTTTAACCGCTCATATAATCCCAGCAGCTAGTTTCGGTTGAAGCCAATATGCCATCGCACAATCGTCTGAGGTCATTGAGATTGTGCAAAACATGAAAAACAGGGAGTCGGGACTTTTAATCGCTCTTGCACGACAGCGTCCAGTGATTTATTTTTCGTTGACGCATCCACATTAATGAGCCTCGTGTCGCATCTTTTGGACGCAACAATCCATCTCCGGGTAATCTGTTTACCAAATTTCAATACGACGAAAGGCAAATTGCTTTTTTAAGTCTCCCATCTTGGTCGACATCCGCTTAGTAAGCAAGCGCAACAATCAATTACCACTCAAAATCATGCAAATTGCATCAAGCGCCAAATTAAAAATTATTATCTGCTGATGACAAAGGCTCTTCTTGGGCAAACGCTTACAATTTTGACACCGGGGGCCTGCAGACTGCAGGTCTGTGGCAATTCCAACGATTACGCGCTACATATAATCTTTTATATTTGGCTGAGAGCTACTAACAAACCCTTCGCAAGAAGAAGTAGAAACCAAGTAGAACGTAAGAATCCAGGTTCTATTGTACATCGCGCATAGCGATGCCAATTGGA